CTTCACCTGGGTGTTGACTGTTCCTGACAACTGGGATGATTCAGCTGAACAGTTCATGAGAGAAGCAGCATCTCAGGTAACATCATGTTAAAAAGTAAAATTTACAATAAATGGTTAAATATATTTGTCAAAACATTCTCTCAATCACTGATTCCAATAACATATCTGCCCAAAAGCAGCAGATACAGACTGATAAGAAGAAGGGAGGAAAAAATATATAATTGTATATAAATATTTATTCTCTTTTAGGCAGGTATCATCACAGACATAAATCAACTGGTCATTGCATTGCATTCAGAAGCAGCTTTATCCTGGTGTATGAAGCTTCCAAGTGAGGGTTTCATCGGAGGGAACAGAGAACAGTGTAGAATGGATCGATCTCCAAGGACACGATACATTGTTGTTGTTTGCGAAGGTATTTAGTTTTTTCACTCTTTTCAAAACATTTATTTTTCCTTTTTACATTAAATGTTTTGCCATCAAATTTTCACATTCTATATTTAATAAGAAAAATTTCCCGAGATGAATGATTACCTAGAGTTAATATAATTAGAGCACAGATAACCCAAATGTTTACAGACAAAAGATCTTTGAACTTCTCCCAGTTACAGCTATATTGTTAAAGTCATCTTGTGTCGATTACTTTGTGTGTTACAGAGGATATCGTCCACATCGCTGTATATGAAGTCCTGAAAGCAGGAGAACTGAAAGAGCTGCAAAGAGCTTCTTATAAAGATCTGGGGGAAAAAACTGTGGAGAGAAACTTTATAGAGTTCATGAGGCAAATATTCTCTGATGGAATCTGGGATGAATATGAAAGAAAGTATCCCAATGAGGTTCAGAGGATTCTTAATGATTTTTCCATATTTTGCAGACAAGAGCAATATGTACTGCTCACTTGTCCACTTAATCTGGGCAGGCTGCCTAAAAGGCGACAGAACATAGAGAAGTTCTTTGAAACAGTAGAAGGAGCATCCTGGGATGAAGGTACGATCATAATCTCGGAACAGAAACTGAGGTCGTTTTTTGCCCATAGCCTGCAGGGCATCACTCACAATCTTAGAGAAATCTTAAACAAAGATTTCAACATTAGTGGCATTTTGTTAGTGGAAAAATATGCTGACAGTGACATTTTAAGGAACCACATTATTGAAGAATTTATAGATGTTTGTAAAGTTCTGTCTCCATTTAGGCCCGAAGGCGTAATCATTAAGGGAGCTTTAGAGATGGGGGTATACGGGGGAAGGATCTCTTGTCTCAGAAGTGCCTTCACTTATGGAATTGGTGTCTCTGAAAGGTTTGATGAGTTAAAGCACAGTGAAGACAGGGCATTTACCAACAAAAATGGTAAATGGTGTGGAGGCCTTTTCATCAAACTAGTTGAAGTTGGTGAACAAGTTAGCACGAAAAAACCCATAGAGTTCACTATTGATCCAGTAGAATCAGATCAGAAAATCATGAACTTTTATTTCTATCGCACAAAAAAGAAATGTCCAAAGTATGTGACTGAAGAGGGAGTGGAGGAAATTCGTTGTTTTTTTCTTACTTCACCAAAAACTGGATGTGGACGCAGTCGGGAGATAAAGCTCAGGATTGAGTTTGGAAACATGGAAATGAAAGCAACAGCTAAAGACCTACTTTCAAAATCAGAAACATCCACTGTATTTGACTTTCTGAGTGAATGAAAGGACTTTCATTTTTATTATAGCATAATAATAAGAAATTATCAGGAGTAATTTCTGACCAAAATTAAACAAATTAATTAGTAGGAAAGATTAACGCAATGATAATTAAACTATTAAAAGTAGATGTTCTTTAGGATTTTAATGTATTAGATAATACACCATTTTTTTATTTTTCATTTTCATTACTTTATATTGCTATATAGCTATTGTCTATTAACTACTATAGTCTCAACATTTGTCAA